TCCACTACCTGGAATGCCTGCTGCCCATCACTGACTGTTGACTTGATCAAGTGCCATCCCCTCTATTCTAAACTAGTGCCCCTTTCCTCATTTGTCCCATTAAATGTTGCACATCTCTCACAATCACTGTCAGCACTGTGACATGAGCTAGCTGTCTTCTCTATCTTAGGCTTCTCCGCCTATGCCTTGCATATGGTCAGTAAAATGTTTGTTGGCTCAAGTTCTGCTTCTCCTTTCCATGCCCTTCCCTGCCTGCCCGCCACTCCCTGCATCGAATCCATCACCTGGTACATAGCAGGTACCCCATGCATCTCTACTAACATCCTGAAGTGCTTTAGGGCTGGCAAATCAATGAACGAGTCTCCATAGGTCAAGGAGAATTAAGCTCTTCCCTTCAGCTAAATCAGATCTCACAGGGAAGGTATGAAATTTGGCTGCACCCTTTTGGGTGGGGATCAGAGCCCAGGAAGAAAACAGCATCTCCCAAAATGCAGACTATGAACCAGTGGAGATACCCAGATGATTTTAGGTGACACAAAGGGGAACTTTTGTTTTCAAATTTAATAATTACATAATCTCACGTGTATTAAAAAGCAATATATGAAGCAACTCAAAACTATGATTTCGTAAATATTATTTAATAAAAGCTTTTGCATTTGAATAAAAATGAGTTGATTTAAGAACAAACATTACATAAGTAATGATACGGAATATGGCCAAAAGAAGTGATGGTGGTGCTTCAAGCTAGGGAAGCATCGGGACAGAGAAAACACTTCCAGCGAGTGCAAAGGTGAAGATGGGGTTGGAGAGATGCCTGTTCTAAGGATCAGATCTGCTGGGAGCAGCCTTAGGAATTAACAGGATTATTTACAAAACTGCGTTACTGTGCGAAAACCTTTGTTTGAAAGACAGATTGCAACTGGAATGTTTCCTCATCACTACTGTTTTTTTACACACGCAGCCATGGGCACCAAGTTTCAGAATGGCCATGTGGTTTTACACCCTTTCCCAGGACTGTCAGCTACAAAGGACCCAGATATGGGTTTGCTTTTCCTTTTTTTCTGCAAAGCACAACACTTTACAAAAAGAAGACACTTCAAAGGCAATCCCTTTCTCATATACGTATCAGGGCTCCATTTGAGATCCACATTCATCTTCCTTATCCAATTACATGATCAAAGCAGAAGTGTTTGAAACAACCTAATTAAAAAATGGGCAGAAGGCCTAAATAGACATTTCTCCAAAGAAGACATACATACAATAATGCTCAACATTACTAATTACTAGAGAAATGCAAATCAAAACTACAATGAGGTGTCACCTCACACCAGTTTGAATGGGCATCATCAGAAAATCTACAAACAACAAATGCTGGAGAGGGTGTGGAGAAAAGGGAACCCTCTTGCACTGTTGGTGGGAATGTAAATTGATACAGCCACAATGAGAACAGTATGGAGGTTCCTTAAAAGACTAAACATAGAATCACCATGTGACCCAGCAATCCCACTACTGGGCATATACCCAGAGAAAGCCATAATTCAAAAAGACACATGCACCCCAATGTTCATTGCAGCACTACTTACAATAGCCAGGTCATGGAAGAAACCTAAATGCCGATCGACAGACAAATGAATAAAGAAGATGTGGTCCATATATACAGTGGAATATTACTCAGCCGTAAAAAGGAACGAAATTGGGTCATTTGTAGAGATGTGGATGGATCTAGAGACTGTCATACAGAGTGAAATAAGTCAGAAAGAGAAAAACAAATATCGTATGTTAACACATATATGTGGAACCTAGAAAGATGGTACAGATGAACCGGTTTGCAGGGCAGAAATAGAGACACAGATGTAGAGAACAAACGTATGGACACCAAGGGGGGAAAGTGGTGTGATGAATTGGGAGATTGGGATTGACATATATACACTAATTTGTATAAAATGGGTAACTAATAAGAACCTGCTGTATAAAAAATTAAATTAAATTAAATTTAAAAAAAAAGCAGAAGTGTTTGGCCTAGTTTGGGGGTTTAAAGACATCCAGGGGAAAACTGGAAACATTTAAAACTACCTTTTTTATGCCACACATTTTCCTGATGGAGAATCGGAACCCACTCCCCCTGTTCTCTCTTAACTAGTCTTTAGACACAAAAAGTCAGGTGAGAGAGTTAACGTACTCTCATCATCCAAGTCACAAGAGATTCAGTTACATCTCTGTAAAATCCTATTTAATCTCAAGTCAGTGTGTCTGGTGTACTGTTTGCTCTCTAAGAGCTCTAAGAGCTACAAGGTCCCTCCCAGCAGCCGCTGAGAAACTATTGATTTTGTCTGATTAGCTTTAAAGACCTTGTATTAAAATAAAAACTTCAAAAAAAAAAAATCTGAAAAGTTACTTCATTAGTCTCCCGAAAGCTACTGGTTCTAGCACATCTGTTCATTTTGATGCTACAATACGGAGCTCATGTTTCCTAAAATAGGACATACCTTGTCCTTTACATTAACACTGTGGGATTTGAGGCCCTGGTTACAAAAAGAAAATAGCAAATATGACATCCTCAAAAATATTTAAGTGAACAGACTGCCTATTGGTGGATTGATTTTTCTCTGTGGATATAAATCTGTTGGCAGCCACCAGAATTGGGGTATAAAAGATGACCTCAGGCAGCTGCTGCCATTTGTTTCAGTGGGAAAATGAGGGTTTGTCTCTCCCCAGGGGTTAATACTGTGATGCTTTGAACGTCCTCTGGGCTCTGTTTCTGAAGGGTTACACTGGAGAGGAGCAATGCTTTGTGGTTTATGACAAGATCACAGCAGAATATTTTGTGCATGCTGTGATTTGTATCACCCATTTGTGCACAGGCCATAAAAGTGCACTTTTTATCAGGAACATTTGTGAATATTTAACAGCACTGAAGACATATGGCCACTAAATAATTCACAGTTATCTATCTCCTCAGCAGATTCCTTATACGCCTACCATGTTTTAATGCCTAGTTTGCTCAGAAACAATATTCCTTACGACCCTTCCTATATAAAAATGTTTACTGACAGGCAGCAATATATAGATACCATGGGATTGGGTTGTAAGGAAGCGGAAAGCTTTCTGCCTTCTCCAGCTCTCTCTGTCCTCATCCGTTTCCCCTGAAAGCTTCCAACCGGCACCTAACCTCGTAGGAAAACGTGCCCTTCCCAAAAGTGGGTGCTAAATTCTGACTTCTGGTGTTTGGGCCATGAGATGGGAGTCGCTGACTAACCTTCACCCTCTTCTCTTTCCAGTTCTATATCCATTTACAGTCCCAAGGAGAATCCGAATGCATTTGATGCTGCAGCATTCTTCCAGTCCGTGGGGAATTTCCTGGGGATCTTCGCCGGCTCATTTGCAATGGGGTCTGCGTATGCTGTTGTCACGGCACTGATATCCTTTGTCCTGTGTGGAAAGCTGGGGACTGTTAACAGCAGTCAACTTCCCTGGAATGTTTCTGAGGACTGACAAATTCCAGGCTAGGAAATTGTTAGATAGTCTCGTTCAAGCGCAGTACGGCACCACTGGAGCCACCTTGATTCCGAGCCACCCCTCGAAGCATAGGTCGGTACCAGTGGAAGAGGGGCCCAGGCTCTTTTCCTGTCCAAGGCCAGTTCTAGCACTGCTCATACTGTCCCAATCCTAGGATAACAACAGTCTTAAAAAAATTCCCACCTAGGAATATAGGTGACCAGGAGGTATCAGGCCTGGATATATTAAGGTCAAGAGGAAGAACTGAAGATCTAAGGTCAAGAATAAAGCATGATTGACTGGGAGTGATAAACTAAGTGTTCTCTGCCTCCTTTTCAAACTTGTATCAAGCACTAGTTCACAGGGTTGGCCAAGCCAAAGATCACTGTGAGTTTAAACGAGCATCCATAGCTCTTTTATGGAAGGGGAACAGCAAGCAAAGCAGAAATGATGTTTGCCATATCCAGGCAATTGTGTCATCTTACTCCCTCTTTTTCAGCAGAGAGGTGGGAGGATGGGTAAAGTTCCTAGAGGATTTGAGCCGGGGAAAGAAGCTGGTCTGCTGAGCTCTTCACTCACAGCAGTTGGATGGGGCAAAAATAAGTCAGATTTGAAGAGGAAAGCCAGAAGGCTAATGTCAAGTGTTAACTGAGGCTACAGAGAAGAGGCAGAGCAAAGGACCAGAGACCTTGGGGGAAAAGAGAAGTAAGAAAGGAGAAAGATGCAAGAAGGGTCGGGAATCAAGGCAAGGAAAGCAAAATGTTGGGGTCTCTTTTCATGAGGACTAGCCTAACAGTTCACTGAACACCTGCTAAAAGGCTAGGTTCTACTAAAGTTTTCTAAGATAAGTCAGAAGATGAATAAAACATGGACTCTGCCTTCAACTAATGACAAACTTGGAAAGACAAGCTCTACAGTTAGAGTTGGATGGAAAGTGAGCGCTAAAGCTGCAGCCACCTTAGTAAGATTATAAAAGTTCAAATTATGATGAGGCCACTGTGTCTGGGATAGTCCAGTAGACTCTTGCCAATCCTATGATTCTGGAAAATCATCTGAAAAGCAGTATTTACATGCAGAGTAGGCCCTGGGCTTGACCTGAAAGATGGGTAGGATACAGGCAAAAGCCACATGATAAGAGATTCAGGAGAAGACCAGCATTCATGAAGGTGTGGCGGAGGGGGCACTGCCATGGCACACGGCAGTTGTGCCTGAAAGGACCTGAGGGCTCAGGCTGGTGAGCGGTGGAAGATGAGGGGACACAGGTGGGATGGAGTCAGCTTGTGGAGTATCTTGGAGTGTTATTCAAAGGAGCCTGGGCATCTTTCTATAGTCCACAGAGAGGGACACAATGAAAGTCCTGGTTTTAAAACATAAATAAGGAACTGGTATGTAGGGTGAATGAGAGAAGGAAGATTAAGATCAAGGAAAACTGTGATGATAACCTGTGGGGGTGGGGGGAATCGGAAAGGAGGCCAATGTTTAGAAGAATCTCTAGGACTTAGTGATTGGTTGGTACTAAGAGATAAGGAAGAGGAGAGAATCAAAAGACCACCCCAAAGTCATGTCCTGGAAACCCTGGAGAATGTCAACTCCATTGACAAAAGTAAGTCAGAAGAGGTAGGGCTGACTTCCAACTAAAAATAATGATTAACAATCTGCCCAGTACTGGAGACATGTCAGGCCCCCTACTACTTGTTTTACATGCAATAACTCATTTAACCTTCACAATGGTCATATCTTTTTTACTGGACACTGGAGCTTAGAAAGGGTAAGCTATTGCCCAAGGTCATACAGCTTGGAAGTAGAGCCAATATCAAACCCAAGGAGTGAAACCGAGAGACAGACCATGCTCTTGATCACTACTCCCTGTTGCCTCTTAATTATTAAGTGGAATGACGATGGAGGTCACATGTTGTTTGGAGTAGAGTAATAGTAATGGTCACAACATTTCGTGAATGTCTAGCATGGGCCTTTATATATATCTTCTTATTCGAATTAACCCTGTAAGACACCGGGTTACACAGGAGGAAATCGAGGCTCAAGAAGGTTAAGTAGCTCACTCTGAGTCACATACCAGTAATAATGGACATGATATTAATTATGTCATCTTACATATGTTCAGAACTGTACCACATGCCAGCCGTTGTCCTTAGTATTTTGCATAGATTATCTCAGATAGTTTTTATAAGAACCCTGGCAGGGAGATACTGTTATTCCCCCAATTTTCAGCTGAAGAAACTGACACATAAGGTTAGGCAACTTGTCTAAGTCCACACAGCTAGGACATTTCAGGGCAGGGGTTTAAAACCAGGCCTTTGGTCCCAGGGACAGCACGAGGTGGAAGGGCTGAGATTGGAACTTTTTTCTGCCCAGTGTGCAAGGAATGTATGGACACATAAGTAAACAAATTGATAAGAAAGGTAAAAATTCCTGGAGGTTGGAAGTCTGCCCTGATATTGGATCAGATCTGGGGAAAGGGGTGGAGAAAAGGAGGAGACAGGGGCTCAGTAACAGTGGCAACACCTGATGGCCTTGGGTCACAAACTCAGGCTGTGAAGGAGACAGGGGCACAGTCCATTCCTCCACCGTAACCACCTGGATGCCTTGTCCACAATGAGGCAGAGGCTCCTCAGACTGTGGGCCCCTGGGCTCCGGACAAGCTTAGGGCTTGACTCAGAACTGAACAACTTTCTGGAGGCCATGGAAAGAGAACACTTTACGCCCAGTTGGTATTCTGTTACTCAAATCGGCCTGAGCCTTCTCTTTACAACAAACTAGAAGAGGGAATTCAGAGGAACAAACTCCATTAGAAACAAAGCCTGCCCTCCAAGTAAGAAGAGGGGACATTGGAAAAGGGTCAAAGGGCAGCCCATGTTTTCCTCCAGATAAAGAATTGCTTCCAGACCCTTACTGAATCTCTTTCCAGAAAAGATGTTTTACAAAACAAATTTATTTAAATCACACTAATTGAAAAACTTACACATCCTTTGTTATATACCAGGCACTCTTCTGAGTGCTTAACATATTGTAAGTGGTTTATATACCTAGCAGGTAGGTTGCGCTATTATGCCCATTTTCAGACGTGGAAACCAAAGCGCAGAGTGGCCCACGGACCCGTCTAAGCTGATACCATGAATATGAGCCCAGGTAGAGTTGCCTTCCAGAGGCCACACTCCCAACCATGACATGATCCTTAGTATTTTGTGCTTTCTAAGACTTTACAAAACATTTTTAATATCTTCATTGCATGTTACTCTGCACATTGTATGAGTAGGTATTATTCTTATTGCCAGTTTACCTAGGATACAAATAAGGCTCACAGAGGTTAACGTACTGCTCAGAAATCACACAGCCCATGACTAGCAGAGCCAAGACTCAAACCCAGATCTACTAAGGCAGAGGTCATACTTTTTGCTTCCTTGCCCTGCTGCCAAACATCTCTTAATATGGAATCTTCCTTACACTTTGTTGTAGAAACGTAAAAATGCAACAGCATAACATCTCTTTATCTGTCAGGGCATTTTCCGCCTAGTGGTGGACACAATTACAAGGTAGCCCTGTCCCATCCATCACTAACTCCTAATCATCTCCCCATAGCCCATTCTCTGCCTGACTCAGATCACTGTGCCTTTGTTCTATTTGCAATTTATAGACTATTGACCAAGTGTCATCCTGGCCAAAATGAACCACTGCCCGCCAAAGGGCATCTTGCTTGACCTAGAAACAACACCCATTTTCCTCCATCCTACTTTTACAAAAGAGTCCGGGCAGCTTCCCTCTCACTGAACATAAATGCTCCTCCTGATTCAATTTCTATCCCCAAGAGAGAAGGCTCTTCAAGGTGATCTGTCCACAGACCAGCACTCCCTGGGGAGCAGTGGCCTCCTTCAGTGTTGACACACTGGCAGCATCTCACCCAGCCTCACTCCCCTTGGCTTTGTTTTCCCAGATCTGCCAGTGTTCTGAGGGGCACGCCCCAAGGGCTGAGTCCAAATTTAAGAAGTTTTGTGTCTACACTGAGCTGATTTTATCCTCTTAGTAAGACATCTTTTTTATCTGAACACCAGTTTGCATTTTTATAGGAGTGTTCAGCCCGCAATGAAGCATGATTCCTGCT